ATTGAGGAATCCGTAATAAGGAGGCGTTGTTAACGAATCCTTCGTGAGGAACCTTTTATCTGAGAACCCCCGGTGGGGACCTTGTTTACCACGTTCTACTATGGAACCCTCAGTGAGGAATATGTACGAAGGAGTCCTTAATACGGAATTTGCACTAAAGGATACTTAATGAAGAATATGTTTGGGGAAGTCCGGGTTACGGAACATGTACTCCGAAATCCTTCAGAAGGAATATGTACTAAGGAATCCATATTAGGAATGTGTAGTATGGAATACTTGATAATGAACCTGTTACAAGGGATCTTCTCTAAGGCATCGTGCGGAAGGAATAGTTGCTGAAGAATACGGGATATAAAAAAAACCTTTTACCCAGGAATTCTCAATAAGGAACCTGCACGAAGGAATCCTTAGTGATAAACCTTTAATTGAGTCTAAAGGGTCTTTGTTGAGGAACCTTTGATTGGGTATATTTACGAAGGAATCCTTCGTGAGGAACTTTTACTGCGGAATGTACGTAGGTTTACGCGGGACCCCTTTTTAATAGAGAACCTGTGATAAGAAATCCTACAGATGGGATCTGCGCTACAGAACCGCTCCTGAGTATGATTTATTGCTGAATCCATAGCACAAGGAATATACAGGAACGAAATCTGAATAAGACATACTTGCTACGGAAAACCCTTCCTTACTAAAGGAATCTTGGCTAGGGAATCCTTACACAGGAATACTAACCGAGAAACCCCAGTAATGAATCTGGATTACAGGGCCCTTGCAGATTCCCCTCTAAGGATTCCTTAGCACGGATCCATTGAAAAGGGGTCATTGCCAATGGACCTGCACTACGGAACCCTCAATAAACATGTCGACTAAGAACCCTTACTGTGAATCACCATTTGCGGAGGAACCCTGAATACGGAATCTTTACGGAGGAACCCTTAGTCAGGAACCTGTACTGGGGAGCCCTTTAGCCTGGTGAGAAGGAACCTTTGAACAGCGAATCCGTAATAAGGATTCTGTACTAAGCAACCCTTGGCGACAAATCTGTACGACGAAATTCGCAATGTTAAATCTGTAGTAATGAACCCTTGATTTTTTTTTTTTTTTTTTTTTTTTAAAAAAAAAAAAAAAAAAAAAAAAAAAAAAAAAAAAAAAAAAAAAAAAAAAAAAAAAAAATCGTCACTAAGGGTCCTACCAGAGAGAACCATTCCTGGTGAACCCCGAAAAGTGAAATCTCCACGGAAGAACCCCTAAGAAGGAGGCGTGGCGAACGAGCCTTTCCGGGAAGAGCCTTTATTTGAGAATCCTTGGTGGTGACCTTTTACAACGGAACCACCAGCGAGGAAACTTTACTGGATACGCACGAAGGAACCTTGCAAATGAAACAGTTACCAAGGAGCCACTGTTGAGGAATATAGAATATAGATCCCCTGGTAATAAACCCTTACTAGATAATACCGAATAATAAATAACGCATAAGGCATCTTGAAGAAGGAGTCTTCACTGAGGAATATGTAATCAGGAAGCTTTACCCTGGAACCCTCGATAAGGAATCTGCACGGAGGAACCCTTAGTGACGAACCTTCACTAAGGAGTCGCTTTTAATGGCTCTTTGCTGTGGAATCCGCATACCAGGAAGACTTGACTAAAGAATCCTGCGTGGGGAACCTGTACTGAGGAATCCGTAATAACGCTGGAGCCCCTAATACAGAATCTGCAGTAAGGAATCCTACCTATGGAACCTGCGCTAAGGAACCCCTCATGAATATAAGTTGCTGGTGAAGCCGTAAAAGACACCTTTGCTAAATAGTCCTTCCTGCATAAAGGAGTCCTGACTTGGGAGTCCGTACAAAGAAACAGTTGCGGAAAAAAGCTTAATAAGAAATCGTTGCTCCAGGACCCTGGCAGAGCCCCCCCGATGGATTCTTTAATGCAGATCCATGTAAAAAATAGGTGGCCTTGCTAATAGATATGCACTAAGGAACCCTCAAGAAGGAGCACAGACTAAAGAATCATCAATAGTGAATAGTTACGGAGGAATCCGTACTATGAAATCTCTCCGAAGGAACCCTTAGTGGGGAACCTTTACTAAAGGGCCCCTAAGACGAAGTCTTTACTGATGGACCCTTGGAAGGAATCCGTAACAGGCAGTTAAATAAGAACATTTAAATACATGCATGCATACATACATGCATACATACATACATCATACATACATACATACATACATGCATACACTAATGCATACATACATGCATACATATATGCACACACGCATGCATGTATGCAAACGTACATACATACATACATACGTACATGCATAAATACCAGCGCATGCGTATATGTATACATACATAAATACACACATACATACATACGCACGCGCACGCACATACATGATTTAATGCAGCCATGCATACACAAGCACATGCATACATACTGCATGCCCGCATGCAGATGTATACAAACATACGTACACGCATGCATACACCATACATGTGTACATACAGACATACATGCATGCATGCATGCATACGTTCATACATGCAGACATGCATACATACATGTATACATACATACATACATACATGCATGCATACATACACATACATACATGCATGCATACATACATGCATACATACATATATATATATATATACACATACATACATACGTACATACATACATGCATGCACACGTGTGTACAATTGTGTGCACATGTACGCATGTGTGCATGCTGTGATCAGTTGTATAAGTGTGTACGAATACGTATACACACATGCAAACGTGGAGCCCACGCATATCGGAAGCAGCGGTCGGCAGCCCCCCCAGAGAGACGCAAGGCGGCAGGCCCCCCGAACTGCTGGAACAGCCGGTTGCACGCCGAGACCTCTCAAAGGACGGAGGCGAGACAGGGAGCAGTAGGAGGAGGAGGAGGAGCAGGAGCAAGAGGAGGAGGAGGAGGAGAAGGCGGAGGAGGAGGATAAGGAGGAGGAGGAGGCGGAGGAGGAGAAGGAGGGAGGAGGAGGAGGAGGAGGAGGAAGACGAGGAGGAGGAGAAGGCGCCTCGGCCCGGGATCCCCCCATTTCGCCGAACAGGTCGGCCCGTGTCGGCGCTCAGCGAGGCCACCACTTACCGAACTTCCTGCCAAATCATCTTCTGGCCAGCGCCATACCCTTACACTTTCCATTCACATCCGTGTTCTCTCATCTCTTTCTTGTCCGCCAGGGATAAAGGGCTACCTCAGGAAGCTCCCCGTCGCCGACAACGCCATCATGCACGAGATTTACGCGGGGCCCACCCAGGTGCCTAGGGCTCCACACTCAGAGGCTCCGAATCTTATCAAAGCTGTGAACCGCCTGGGTTATGCAGCCCGCACATGGAAGCGCCCTAGACTGCGAGACGTCAACATTCTTTTCAGCGAGGCCACCCGACATCATCGGGACCAGCACCGAAATGATAGGACGGTGGATCAGACCACCAGGCTTGATCCAGAAGGGCCTCCACCAGAATTGCGGACGGACCGTGAGTGGCCCTCTCTCAAGCTCCCCCTCCCTTCCTGCCCGCCCAACTTGCTTTCCCTCCTCGTCTTTCTCTTTCCCTCTCTTGTGGTTCTGGGAGGGAGGGGTTCAGTGAGCTGGGGATGGGGAGGGCGCATTCGACCAAAACCCTGCGCTTAAGGTATCGACACATGTTTCAACCAGCTCGGGCAGTTCATTCCGCTCGCAGTCGCGACGGACGTCGCCTAGCGCGCGATCGCATGGTCCACCTTCCATCGTTTATGTTTCCCCACTTCCCGCGCTTACTTCGCAGACAAATAACCTCATGGAACTTGTTTCATCATTTTGTATCCCCTACTGAGGCGAGCGAGGCGCCCGTTGGGAGAAGAGTTTTCGGGATGATGGTGGCCCCTGGAGTCGGAGGAGCATCTCTCGCGCAGACAGTCTCGCCCGCTGGCAGCAGGCTGGCTGGCAACAAAACAGCCCGACGCTGGCGCAACTCGCACGCAACAGCGTTTTGCCCCGCACGCTCGCGGCCACGGCTGCACATATACACCTTACCCAGTCCGCACCCCACGATGTACAGCACGTCCGCATCGTGTTTGGAACTATTGCTGCTATGCACCAGAGCTGGTCGATGTTGTTTTGAGAGGCGGGCAGACGCACCAGCACGCGAAGCTTGTCAACAACTTCAGCTCGAGTCGTGAAAGAGCACGACTGCTGTCGTATCCGTGCCGTCAACATACACCCTGCGATTCACCGCCTGCTTTCCGCTTCGTTCCTTTCGGGCACTCCTTGCCTTCACCACCCCCAGAAGTCCGAGCGAGGTCGCATGGCGACTCGCGTTGTCGGAAAAGCGAACCGCAGACGCAAGCGCAATCCGCCTCCGTGAGGCACCGCGCAACCGCCGCTGGATCCCGCCTATGAAGGGAGTTTCCCGCCGCGGTCTCACCGAGCCAGCCCCACATGTGTCGTTGCCGACCCCGCGCCGCCTCACCAGGCATCCCGCAGAGTGTCTCACCGGTACTTCTCTTTATCGTCCAGCTGTCACGGGGAGGGGAGGGACGGGAGGGGAGGGGGGTGACGAAGGAGATTGGCCTGTCAGGAGGTGCCACGATGGCCTCTGGGCCGGAGCGCCCCGCTTGCTTTTTCCTCTCCCACGTTCCCTTCCGCCCTTTGCCCCTTGATGTGCAGGAGGGAGGATGAGGAGGAGGAGGAGGAGGAGGAGGAGGAGGAGGAGGAGGAGGCGGAGGAGGCGCTTTCCCTACTTTCCCCCACCGCCAGGATTTAACCCTCTCCACCGTGCTCGGCTTTGCCGTGCGGGGGAGGCAGGATTGGTGGCAGAGATCTTCGACCTCGAACGCCATGAGTCAGTCAGGCAGGAGGAGGGAGGGAGGGAGAAGGAGGAGGGAAGAGAGAGGAGGGAGGAGGGAGGATTGAGGACGGAAGCGAAGCAGGAGGCAGGAGGGAGGAGAGGAGGAAGAGTATTGTACGCTGCAGGGCCATTCTCTACCACACCGCCCGAAGCCGAGGCCAGGGAGGCGGCACAGGTCAGGCGCAAGTAAATGAGAGGGACGGCCACGTCCCCGCAGCAAGCCTCGGCCTCAGGATGGCGACTCACGCGGAGGCCGCGAGCTGCTGCAGGTGCGGGCCGCGCGAAGACGCCGAAGCACGCCCACGTCAGGAACGGCGGCACGACGATCCGATATGGCCGTACGGACAGAGCCTCGCCTTGGGCAGCACTCCGCACGCCAGCTTGCGCCGCGTCTGCACCCCATAGTGGCCCAAGTGCTCGCCGCATGGCTGGGCCAGCCCCCAAAGAAACACGCGCCCAACGTGTCCACACTTCAGGCAAGCATGGGTCTTCAGGTCGGGCCGATACCCCGGCAAATAGGACGAGTGGATTTCCAACCCCTGCACGGTGATCTTGCCCTGGCCCACCATCTGGACTCCTTGCAGAACGCCTTTGTGGCATGGCGTGGCAAAAAAGCCTCCATCCGCGGGCCGTTCGCGCTGCAGCCGCACCCCTTGCAGTGGAAGCTCGAGCCCACACGGCCGCTCAGCTCGTGCTCCGACAGCGCCAACTTCACCTTGAAGCCGCGGTGCCCAGCCCTCGTAGGCTTGATGCGGCGCGGCTCCGCCTCCGAGGCCTTCAGGAACGCCATCGTGAGATGCGTGCGCACCGTGGACCCGATCGCTTCGGCCATCTCCAAGCTGGTGACCGTGCTGGAAGGCACCTGGAACCGCGACGCCCAGTCGCCCGCCAGCTCATCCGCGATCTGGTTGGCAGCGTACCAATTCTGTGGCACGCCGCGCGCCTCCGCCACCTCCTGGTCCAAGTGGCTCTCGATCTTCACCACGGCAGTCGAGAGCAAGTGAGGCGCACCCCGCAGCGCCTCCTTGATCTTCTGCCACTAATCTATGTTCGTCCTCGGGAGGACGCCCCAGACGATCTTCCCGAACCCCCTCACCACGTAGGAGGAGTCAGTGACGTAGGTGATCCCCACGCCCAGGCACTGCAGGTCCACCAGCGCAGCCAGGAGCGCCTGGGTCTCTCCGCGGTTGATCGTCTGCCTCGCCTCCACGCCCGAAGGGGGACGCAACCGAGGTGAGCTGGTGGGCGCCGTCGACGTCGCCGAACTCGCAGTCAACAACCGCATAACCCCATCCAACGCGCCTCAGCTTTGCATTGACCGAGTGCTCTCCTCCACTAGCGTCGCCTCCAACCAGCAGCCACCCCCGCCCCTGCAGCGAGCCCGCGTCGGCATACTGGTCCCCCAGCGGGTCGTCGGGCGGCTCCTCGACGTGTGTCCGCGACGCGGAGAGGATACCTCTGAGCCAAAGACATGGCAGCGCGTCCACGTCGCTGATGGCCCGCTCCTTGAGGTTCCTCGAGACCTTGCTGAAATCAGAGTTACACCTGCAAGTCCACGACCTGTGAAGATCGGTCTCCTCCTCCTCCAAGCACCTGGGGCACACCGTGGACATTGAGCCCTGCGCAATCGAGGACACGCGATGTCGAGTCCACGCTGCCCCGGACATGACGGCCTCCATCGGGCCAGCAAAATGATGCCATGAGAGTGCCGTCAGGTTACCGACAAACGAGAAAAGCATGCCGTGTTGAAAGGTGGTGAGCATAGCTGCCGAACTGCGACAGGGTTACTGAAAGCTCGGCGCGGATCCTATGGAAGATGAAGTGCGCTAGAGTAACAAGATCGTGGGCAGTCTCGATCGTGAGGTCAGTGCCGTCCTATTCCTCCTCCGTCCCGAGGCCGAGCCACAGGAAAGGGGGGACGGTGGGGATGTGCAAGCGGGGCAGGGAAATGAGGTGAAGCAAGCGGGGGCAGGAGAGGTCGTAGAGGAACGAATCGGGGTGACAAGAGCAGCAGCCAAACTTGCAGGGCAGCGGTGTGAGAACCTGGACCCTGTGGCTGGTGATTCACCCTCGGGCGAGGGCTTCAAGATGGAACCGCACTGCGTGCGACTGAAAGCGAAACAAGATCTGGCGAAGAGCGAAGGAGGAGGAAGAGGAGGAGAAGGATGGAAGATGGAGGATGGAGGATGGAGGACGACGAGGAGGACGGCGAGGAGGACGGCGAGGAGGAGAGGACGAGGGAGGAGGAGGAGGTGGAGAAGGAGGAGGACGAACGAGGTTGAGGAGGAGGAGGAAGAGGAGGAGAAAGAGGAGGAGAGAGAGAGAAGAGGAGAAAGAGGAGGAAGACGAGGAGGAGCAGGGAATGAGGAGGAGGAGGAGGAGGGACTGAGGAGGAGGAGGAGGAGGAGGAGGAAAGGAGGCGGAGGAGGAGGGGTAGCACGGGGACGGGGACGAGGGCGAGCAGGAGGAGGAGACGGAGGAGGAGGAGGAGGAGGACGACAAGGAGAAGAATGGGGACAGGACGAGGGCGAGGAGGACGAGGAGATGCCCGAGATCCCCAGCAGACTTCCGACAACAAACAGGTCTGGACATACGGAGGCCCGTTTCTGGCCTGGGGTCGTCAGAAAACCGGCCTCGGGGGAAAAGTCGAGAGCACTGAGGCCCACAGAGGCAGGATAGCAGCACGTCGGGTCCGCGCAGGGGGCACGGGGCGTGGAGACGAGGCGTGGGGAGGGCGAGAACACATCTGGTGGGGGCGAGGAGGCGGCGGAGGCAAGCCTCGAGAAGCTGATCTGGATACTCCAAGTACAACGGCCACGGCGGATGGCATGGGATCGGGATTGTGCCTATGGGTCCTTTTCTTGCTGGCTGGCTTGGATTTCCCGACTTGCGCGATGCACAAAGAAACCACATGCAACAGGAACTTGTGGCCGACTATAGAAACCATAGGCCCTGTTGCGTTGACCTCTCTTGGGGAGATGCGAGCTTATGTTCGCCAAATTTCCACCCGGGGAGCCGCCCTCGTCCTACATCCGCCAGCCTCCGCCAAGAACAAGAGACAGTTTCTCGAATCCTCGAAAACGCGGCCTTCATGGAACGTTCTACCTGCGAGGCAAAATACGAAGGCGAAGACGAGGTCCGCGCGCGGGATCCCTCCCGCGACATCCTGCAGCGGGGTGCTGTCGGACGGACCCGGTACTGTCCACACTTGCAGATGCCCGTCCCCTCTCAAAAAGCCAAGCCTTCTCCCTCATCCCTCCTCTCCAGTCCCCTTCTTCCCCATTGCTTCTCCCTCCTCCCTTCTTCGGGTTTGTCTGTGGTGGTTGGCCCCCTTCCAATTTGCCCAGCTGCTCCTCAGTCTTTATGCACGCAGCGCTGTGCCCCATTTCGTTATCCTTTCCGTACCTGGCTGCCCCACGCAGCCCTCTATTGAGACGCCTGCTGCCACTGGCACTTCTAGCCTCTTTTTTGGACGCCCGAAATGGGTACGGAAAAAATGGGCACAATGCCCAACAGCAAATGTTGTCCCAAACCAACGGCGGCCGCTGTTGGGCAGGCGGCCTTTTGCCTCGAATGGACACAGGCCGCGGCGGCGTGGACAGCAAATCCTGTTCAAAATGAACAGGAACTACGGTTGGGCATTGTACCCATTCTTTCCGTGCCCATTTCGGGCGTCCTGATCTTTGCAAGCATCTACGCGTGTCACCAACGTGCCGAGCGCACTGCCGGTCGTTACTCGATGCCCCAACTTGCTACCCCGTCTTCCCCCTGTCTCTGCAGGCACTGCGGCCCTGTGCTGCAGCTCCGCGTCCGTGCTCCTCGCCCCGCAGACCGCGCACCAGTGGCGCAACTCGCGGCCCGCCAAAGAGAGACGCGGCGCCATGGAGCACGCACGGGGGAAAAGCCCCACGGCGAGCAACAAATCCTTCGCGCCGTTGCCAGTCCATGTCCTCCTCCGCTTCCAGAGGCCTCCCAGATGGGGTCGGAGTGCATGGGGTCAGAGGATCACGCCGATACATCGACGATGCATCGGCGATGTGTATCGGCGATACATCGCCCATGCACCGGCGATGCATCGTCCACGTCGGCGATGCGTCGGCGACGACGACGTGAAGGAAATCGGGCTCCACATCGGCGCATCGCATGTATCGGCGCTGCGATACATCGGCGGTGCATCGGCGATGCGGCGCAATGCACCGACCCCATCTACTCGGAGAGGGTGCGCCGCTGGATCTCCCCAAGGGGGGGGGGGGTTAGGACACCCCCCCCCCTTCCCCGATCCGTCGTCGGGGACCCCCCCCCCCCCCCCTCTTCCCCGATCCGTCGTCGGGGAACCCCCCCCCCCCCCTTTCCCCGATCCGTCGTCGGGGCCCCCCCCCCCCTCCCCTCCTTTCAAATGGGGGGGGCGGGGTCCAAACCCCCCCCCCGCCTCCTCCCCTTTCGCCACGCCGCCCCTGACTCCGGAACCCGAACCCCCGCCACCCCTACCCCTAGTCCTCACCCTGACCCAAACACCAAATCCTAACCCCAACCACTAACCCCAGCCCCACAGAGTACTCACTACTCATTACTCACTACCCACTACTGACTACGCGCTATTCGCTACTCACTTCTCACTACCCCCTACTCACAGCTCACGATTCACTACTCATTTTCCACTACTCACTACTTACCACCCACTACTCGCTACTCACTACTCCCTACTCACTATTCCCTCCTCCCCACTCACTACTCACTCCTCACTAACCACTACTCAATACTCACTTCTCACTGAGCACTACTCACTGCTCCCTACTCATTACTCACTAATCACTACCCATTACCCACTACCCACACTACTAACTACTCATTGCCCACAAATTACTACTCACTACCCACTATTCGATACTCGCTACTCCATACTCCCTACACAATACTGACAACGCAGTACTCAGTACTCACTACTCCCTACTCCCATACTCGCTACTCAATACTCACTACTCACTCCCCGCTACTCACTATTCACCACTCACTCCTTACTACTCCCTACTCACTAGTCACTACATAGTCTCTAGTCACTACTCACTACTCACTAGTCACTAGTCACTGGTCACTACTCCCTACCCACTACCCACTACTCACCAATCGC